TAAGCATTTATATAATCTGAAAGAGCTTTAATTTTCACTAGGCATCTTATACTTCAAATTCTTACCACAGGAGAAAAAACGGCAGTGAGTGTTCAAAGAAAGACCATGACGAGAATTCCGTAATTGCAGGTTTGATGGTGAGAAAAGGCCAGTGCTTCTCTCATGTTACAAAAATTACCTGCTTAGAAGAGAATGACCGAAAGGATAAATTCCCTCTAAGTAAATGATCCATCTCCCTTGTAACAAGCTGCCAACAAGGAACAGCAGCAGCCTCTCTGCCCCGTGTCCCTCTGGTCACCAGCCCATATGCACAAGCAAGTTTCTTGAAAGAACAAGCTACATTAGCGCTCTCAACTTTCTTGTCCCGTTTGCTTCTCCGTTGCCTGCAAATGGATTTCCTGAAGGTCGTCTATGTCAACACACCCCACCGGCATATCAGTGCTCTGGTTCCTGAGCGCCTGCTGTGCACGGGGAGTTGGGGGGGCCCCACGGGATTTTCGTTCAGCAAATGTTTGCTGAGCTCCTCCCTGATGAGGTCACCAGCCACGACGGCAGTATCGGCACAGGCGGTCAGACTTGGAGAAACACGAGATGGACACCTAACCGACTGGTGGGAGGCAAGGGAAGAAGAGGGATTGGCCAATGAAGGGATGAAGAAGGATGCTCCAGGCCGAAGATTAGCAGCACGTGCCAACGAACGGTAGAAACAAGATACGCAGTCGTATTCACGGGGTATTGTAGTCACATGGAGGCAGGCCTGGGAGGCATTCAGGGAAGGCTTCCTGAGGGAGGCGATACCTAAACCGAGACCTGAGGAAGGACTAGGCATCTGTTAAGGAGGTGAAGGACGACATCCCAGGAACATATGCAGTGTGTGCAAAGGCACAGGAGATGGCACCTTGGGAGTTCCCGGATGGCCTAGTGGTTAGGATTCCGAGCTTTCACTGCTGTGGCCTGGGTTCAATCCCTGGTCAGGGAACTGAGATCCTGCAAGCCGTGCGGCATGGCCAAAAAAAAAAAGGCATATGGCATCTTGGGACGGGTGTAAGTAACACAGGATGATGAAGTGCAGCACCTGGAGAACAGCAATGCGTGCTGAGGAGTTTGGACCGAAAGGGATAGCAGTCACTGAAGGGGGAGAGGTTGTGTGTGTCTGTGTGCCTGTGTGCCTGTGACCGTGTTTCCCCTTTTAGAATGATGGCGCCTGCTGCTCCATGGAAGACGCACTAGAAGGGGCAAGACTGGCGGTGGGGGGACAAGTTAGAAAGAAGGCTATTGTGACGCAATGGTTGGGGTGAAAGCGACAGGTCGTCCACAAGGCCGGGGCTGTACCGTGTAATGTGTATCCAGTAGGATCCATGATATCAAGTCATATTCACAGCTAGGCTTTCAGGGTAGGCAGACCTGAGTGTGAATCCCCACCCCGCCCATTACTAACCTCTCAGAGTCCATTTCCTCAGCTGTGAAGTCAGGACAATAGTAAGACCGAGCTCACAGCTGTTGAAAGGATGAAAGAGCACTGTACTGGAGAGCACAAAGCCCGAGACGGAGCACGCAGTGAACACACACAGATGAGAGCTACCACCCTGGGCACCATCACCTGGACTCGGGGACCAGACACAGATGCTCAGAGACCTGAGTGCACAGTGGCTCCAGGGTTTCTGGCTGCCGCTACTCACAGGAAACAGAGCCCAGAGTGGGCAGGTTGCAGGGCAGTCAGGTTGGGAAGGAGATGTGCTCGCTTGTGGAGTCTGAAGTACCCACTGGTGGAAGAGAGAATCCTCCACGGGCCTCTCTCACTCCTTCACATCTCGCCACGTGTGCCAAGAAGGCAGGACCTGGCCACTTTGCATCTGGACCACTTCTCAGCGCTGTGTTTGTTTCCTCCTGGCTTGCTTACCGGCTCCCTGTATAAGCAGTAGATTCCCAAGCTGGGTGTCCTCCACCCTTGGTGGTGCAAACCCGCTGCGTGCGCAGAATCCCTCTGGGCCCAGCACGCTGCTCCTGCAGGACTCAGAGGCCAGGGGAACTGGTGCAAGTATACTGATGCTCACGCTAGGTGCTGTGGGTGCCTGAATAGAAAGTCCTGCGTCTCTGACCCAGCGTCATGTCTTCTGCCAGCAGCCAAGATTCAGTGACAGGTTAACTTAGCAGCTTGTGAGTTGGAGAGAGAGACTTAGAGTCATCAGTGTGTGCTTGTCAGATGAAGCCATGAGTATAAATAACATTGCCTAGGGCTTCCCTGGTGGCGCAGTGGTTAAGAATCCGCCTGCTAATGCAGGGGACACAGGTTTGAGCCCTGGTCTGGGAAGATGCCACATGCCGCAGAGCAACTAAGCCTGTGCGCCACAACTACTGAGCCTGCGCTCTAGAGCCCGCGAGCCACAACTACTGAAGCCCACGCGCCACAACTACTGAAGCCCGCGCACCTAGAGCCCGTGCTCCGCAACAAGAGAAGCCACCACAATGAGAAGCCCGTGCACTGCAATGAAGAGTAGTCCCCGCTCGCTGCAACTAGAGAGAAGCCTGCGTGCAGCAACGAAGGCCCAGTGCAACCCAAAATTAATTAATTAATTTAAAGAAAAAAATATTGCCTAGGAAGAGGTCTGGGGCCGCACCCAGGGTAGCAGCAATGAGTAAAGGATACGGCTAAGAAAGGGAGCTCCCAGAGGACGTCAAGAAAGAAGCCTGGAGGAGAGCAGTTCCTTACAGGCCAAGGGAGTGCAGTTTCCATCAAAACAGAGTAGGCAACAGGATCAGAGGATGCTTAAAAGTCAAGGAAGATGAAGACTGAAAGTAGTCACTGAGTTTAGCAACTAGGTCACTGGCAAGAGACATTTCAGTGACGTGGTGCGGCCAGAAGCCAAAGTGGAGTGGGTGAGGAATGAATGGACGTACATACAAGTTATTTCGAAGGAACTTGGCTGAGTGGGTGAGGAATGAATGGACGTACATACAAGGTATCTCTAAGGAACTTGGCTGAGAAGAGAGAGATGGGGCCTTGGGAACCGGAGGGGTGGGAGCAAATACAAGTTTCCTTTCTAAATAGATGGAAGAGATTTGAGCAGATTACATACTGAGGAGAACAAGCCAGAAAAGAGGGAAAATTGGGGGTGAAATTAAGAGCAAGGAGAAGGACGGAACCAGGTCTCGGGAGGAGAGGAAGGGGGTGGCACTCAGATCCCAGCGGGGATGGCCTGGGCCCTCTTCCACTGAGATGGCATTGCTCCAGCCACACGCCCTCCCGCCGGCCAACCTGCCAGGGGAGTGGAGCCCAGCGTCCCTAGGGAGGGGCCTGGCCAGCACGTTTCCTGGAGGCCACTTTGCCTCGTGGTCCTGCAGGTTCGAGATGAGAGCACCGAAGTGTTTCCTGGCCGGGGTTCTCTGGAGATGCCAACAGGTGTGTTCTACACACAAAGGGTGCAGGTGAATTTGGAAGGTGTCGCCCAGCCCTGCGAAGCCAGCCTTCAGGAAGACTGAGCGTTCTCTGCAGGCAGAGGTGGGCCCTTGCGAGTGGGGCGTCCAGAGGGCAGAGGAAGCCAGCTGGGGGACACACAGGCCGCCCTCCAGGTACTGGGGGCTGACCCAGCGTTCACTCACAGAGCGGGAGGAGGCGAGTCCTCTGTGGGGCACGTGCACCCTGCTTGGAGTCTCTGTACCCCTCCTCTTACCCTCCCAGCTCAGGGCACAGGGTTCTCCTCCCACGCGGCACAGGAGGGAGCTGAGGACTTGCCTGACGCTCCGGGCTCAGGACACAGTGGACTTCAGCTCTCTCTGATTCGGGATCCGACTCTCCTGCCCTACATCCCACGCTGTCCTTTCCCCCAGAGCAGCACCCGGGGCCTGGGTCAGAGGCAAGGACACAACTGCTGCTCCTCCCGCAGCCGTGACCCTGAGACCAGGGTGGTCCGGGTCGCGACAGAGGAGATCCCCAGGTGCCTGAGCCTTCTCTCTGGCAGGGCTGTGGTCAGCTTTCCTAGCACCGTCTGACCCTGGGGGATCTGCCGCACCAAGGGGGTGAGGGCTGGTCTGGCGTGGAGCCAGGAAGGGAGGGGACGGTAGGAACGTGCCGTGGGGCTGCTTGCAGGCATGCTTCTGCTTTTTCGCACGGGGGTTACCCCCAGGCCCCTTCTCCAGAGGTGTGAGAGCGAGAGCAAGAGAAGACAGCTGTTCTTTGCACCTGGCTGGTCCAAACCCTTTGACACTGACTGATGCCAGCAATGGGCTCTCCCTAAAAGAACACGCACACAACACGCAGCCTTGCACCTGGTTTCTGGTTCATGCACCACCGCCCGCCGCCACTGGCCGAGTCTCAAAGGAGTGTCCGTCAGAATCAGCCGAGAGGCTGGCTAAAAATGCAGCTCGCCAGGCCCCGCCGCGGAAACTCTCATCGGGCGGGTCTGGGGCGAGGCCCGGGAGTCTGCGTTCTCAACCAGCCCTCGGACGACATGGGCTCTGATGCTCAGCGGCGCCCGCTTTGAGAAACCCGACTCCGGGGCTGAGACCCGCCCCCCCACCCCACAGCTTCCATGCTCCAAACCTTCCCCACGTCGCCGAGCGCACGGACCCCCTCCCCTCCCCTCCCCTCCTATGGGCCTCATCCGCGCGCGGTCGTGGAAGCATCTGGGGAGAGTGGTGCCGGCCGGGAGGGAAGCCCCCGGCCGCCCCCTTCGCCCCGCGCCACCGCCCGGGAGGCGCAGCGCGGCAGCCGGCAGGGGGCGCGGCGCGGGGACCACACGGAGGGGGCGCCGGGCGGCCCAGCAGGAGCGGAGGAGCGGGGAGGGGAGGAGGGGGGCAAGCGAGGCCTTGGAGGCGCGCGGCGGCGGAGCCGGGGGCGGGGCGGCCAGGCCGGGGCGGGGCCGGGGGGCGGGCGGCGAACGCCGGGGGAGCGCGCCCGGGGAGCGCGGAGGAGGAGCGCGGACGCCGCCGCCGCCCCCGCCCGCCCGCGCGCAACAGTTCCCCGAAAGTTGCCGCCCGGGAGGCGCGCGCGCCGGGCGGCAGAGGGGCGGGCGGCGGCGGCGGGGACGCGGCGTCGCGGCCCGCCGCGGAGAGCGCGGGCGGCGGCATGGGCACCCGGCAGACCAAGGGCAGCCTGGCGGAGAGAGCCAGCCCCGGCGCGGCGCCCGGTCCCCGCCGCGAGCGGCCCGACTTCTGGGCGTCGCTGCTGCTGCGCGCCGGGGACAAGGCGGGGCGCGCGGGCGCCGGCTCGGGGCTGCCCCCCTACCACCGGCGCGTCGGCATGGTCCAGGAGCTGCTGCGGATGGTGCGCCAGGGCCGGCGGGAGGAGGCGGGGACGCTGCTGCAGCACCTGCGCCAGGTGAGCGTCGGGAGGGGGCGCGGGGGCGCCCCGCCCCTTCCCGCAGAGGCCCCGGAGCGCCGAGGGGCACCGCCCGGGCCCCTGCTCGCGGGGATGGAGCCCGGTCTGGCCGCAGGTGCCTCGACGCTGCCCCTGAATTCGAGGCCTCAGGACAGGGCGGAGGAAGGCTGGCCCGGTGAGGCCCGGCTGAGGGGGACCTGTTGGAATAATGTCCCCGCTTCAGTCCTCCGCAGGCAAGGACTGAAGGAGGAGAAGGCTGGTCCCGGGGACGGTTCGTGGGAGGGGATGCCTGCCTGGGCCGAGGCGCTTTTCTTCCCCTCTACCCGCCGGCAGTCACCCCCGTCAAGGGTCCTCAAGGAATGCGCAGTCGTCAGCTTCCCCAGGGGGCGTCCAAGGGCGCAGCCCTGGGGCTGGTGAGATAGATGCCAGTCCCCAGGGGCTTTTCCCACCCGGGAGGCCTCCTGGAGAAGAGGCGTCCCGGATGGCGGTTCGGGTGGGCGACAAGGTTTTCTCTCCTGTGACTAACTTTGGCAGGCGCTCAGCCGGGGGCCCCCGCGGAGCAGTGGAGGGGGGCGGGGGGGGCTGGACTGGGTTCCTACGTGACTGTTTATCTGCAGGGACTTCAGGAGGCTGCCTGCACTCTGCCCTCAGCCTGTTCCCGTCCCTGCCCCGCTGGTTAGGGACCGTCCTTCACATCTGGCTGGCCTCCTCTGCTTTGGGGCTGCCTTGGGGCTGACGCTGTCCCCCACCTCTCTTTGGCTTTTTTCCTTCCTCACTTTCTTTTGAGGGAGGGGGCGGCCTGCTCCGTAGATTTTGTGGAGTCGCAGAGAGGCAGGAGGGTGCACCTCCTGCATCCCCGGAGGTTGTCTTGGCGGGGCTTTGTGAGGGTAGCTGAGTCCAAGCCCGTATTCTTGCTAGATTGACCCCGTTAGTGGTGGAGTCCGGAGGGGATGGGGGATGGGGCCTCTCGGGTGGCCTTTCTGAAGTTCTTCCATCACTGATGAGAGAGGCTGTAGGAGAACCTTCCCGGGAGGAGCGTCCAAAATCGAATCAGACCCACATCCCTCCTGGAGTCTGCAGCAGACCCCCAACCCCCTTTATATGTGGTGTGGGTTACCCTGGAGTGTATGTTCCCAAGGTGTGTGCTGTACAGGGAGAGGGAAGCAGCGGCTTCTGCTCTGGCCTCCACTTTCCCAAACAGCGTCCGGAAGGCTGCCTGAGATGCCACTGGATCCCCAGGTGCCTTCTCTGAGCCCAGTCATCAAAGAAAGATGACATTCCACACCACATAACTTTCTTGGTGTGTATTTCTTTGTCTTTCAAAAACTGGAAACCAGTGTATGGCCTCTGTGGAAACTGTTTTGCTTTCAAACGGCATAATGGATTTTCCAGACCATCACATCCATTTGCACACCAGACAGTGAGAAGGTGTTTCTGATCATGTGCTGTTCCCTCGCACCGGGGTGGGTGCTTCGGAGGATTCAGGACCGTGGAGGGGCTGACGGTGGAGGTCCAGACAAGCCCTTCCGGGAGGGTGAAAGAGCACAGTGCCGCCAGTCAGTCCGCTGGGGCCTGCGGGGTGAGGCAGACCCTCGAGGCTGAGTGATTCCACGTCCCGGGGAAGCTCGTTTCGGAGAGTAGATGCGTCCCGTGACCCCCACAGGGTCCCTGAGACACAGAGCACTTCCGGAGAGATAGTGTCTTGTTGGTGTCCTGACACCCTTCTCAGTGGCAGGACTGCGAGGGCTGATGGAGGGCAGAGGTTAGCCAGGCTCACCCTTTTCTGTGAAAGCAGCAGCATAACTTGCCCTCCAGTTCCAGCCATGTGCTGGGCTTTCCTGACCTCTGGGTAAGGTCTGTGGGCCTCTCTGGAGCCAGTGACGGGCTTGCCCAAGGCGCCTGGAGAGCTGTGTTGCCTAGAACTTGCAGATCAGGGCCCCTCCAGGAAGTGGCGGTGGGCCCTGGGCGGTGTGGGAGGGGAGCCCCGGGTGTCCAAATATCTGTGAGAAACCAAGAGGTGGTTTTTTAGGACCCTGAGGCTGTTTGGAGGAACGTAGAGCTGCATCTGTGCTGTGCACTGAAGTGGCTTTCTCCTAAATCGTATTTTCCTTTCCAGTTTCCTCCTCTAGGCTGGAGGTGGTGATGTTCAGAAAGGGAATGAGAAGTCACTGAGAGGTGCAAACACCCGGGGCCTCAGCGGGGGGGGGGGGGGCCAGCAAGGCCTCGTCAGTAACGGTGGGCAGAGGCGGGGTGTGCAGAGCTCAGGGGCTGGTCCTGCTGGGATGATATCCCAGCCCCACAAGGCGCAGGGTGGCGTTGATGAAGAGAAACAGGCAGAGATGGTGGCAGCCCGACAGCCACGGCGTCCGCACTTGCTCCTGTGTTTGACAACGTGTGTGGCTGCCCAGAGCCCGAGGGGGGGAGGAGGCTGGAGGTCCTCAGTCCCTGTGGTTCTTCACCCCCTTGAGTCCGTGAGCTTTTTGTGGCCCTGAAAGAGCTCTAGACACTCTTCCCAGACTAGTGCAGCAACATTCACAATCTTAAAAGTATTTCGGAGGGTTCGCAGACCCCAAGTTCAGGATATGCCCCCATCTGGGACCTCCCCTCCCCCGACCATGTGACTTGCTACAGGCTCAGGATGTGGAACTAGAGACCCCGGGACCACGTGTGGCAATTCACGGTGGGCTGAAGGATGGTTGGCTGCCGCTGCTGCCGCTTCTGAATCTAGGATTCTTTCCAACCTGAGATTTGGGGGGTGGTTTCCCTGATGGGAGACTCTCCAGCCTGTCCGTGCCTGTCCCTTGCCAGAGAGGAATCAGGAGGCCTCCTTAATGTTAAGGAGCTGCGCTGGGGGTGCAGGCAGGATGCCAGGAAGCTGCCTGCTGCCTGCAAGGAGCAGAGAGCCACCCCCTTCCCTTTAGGAGCCGTGTCATCTCAGTAAGAGCCTGGGGCCAAGGGTCAGCTCGGGCAGCTTGCCTTCCTTCCGGTCCTCAGTCTGCTTTGACCTTGGACCCCGCTGATAACCTCTGTGTGGTGTTTCCTTGTTTCCCAGAGGGTGTCTGAGGTACTGAGCAGAGCAAATGCTGCAAAGCGTGTGAAATTGCCTTGGTTCTGCAAATCGAGACTCGTTCTCCCGGCCGCGATGATAAGAAGAAGGAGAATCTGCTTGGGGTCTGGGCGCGCTGCGGTCAGGGTCTCGTACCCTTTCTCCGGCCGGGCCCAGGATGTTTCAGATTCTGTCTGCCTGACCAGGGCTCAGTCCGGGTCAAAAGCTCACTGCAAGTTCAGAAGCAGTGTGGGGCGGCGTGGGGATGAAAGAAGTCAGCTGTGGATAGAAGAGGCCGCTCCTCTCCCCTCCCCCGGCCCCGTTCCTGCAGGCCTCACCCTTCCCCAGATGTTGCTTCCTAAGTCTTAGGCACACACTTGCCATCTTCAAGGAGCCCTGGGGAAGAAGTAACCTTTAGTCATGGAGAGAGGGCAAGTGCCGGGCTACAAGGGAGGTGGGGTGTCATCTCTTCAGAGCAGTGGTTTCTCTGAGTTCCCAAATCCCAGACTGGGCCATCAGCCAGCTTCCTGGAGCACCAGAGGAAGGGCTCAGTTTCCCCGGGACACCCCAGGCTGAGGTGGCTGCCTCCTCCCTGCTTTCCCATAAAGAGGGTCTGGTCGGGTTGGCTTATGGCCACTCAGTGTGGCGCAGCCCCACTGAGCAGAGCTGTGCCAGGCTTAGCCCGACGCTGTGGCCCCTGGGAACACGAGCCTCACCAGCAGTGCAGAAAGGAACCCTCAGCAACCGAGGATGTCTGGCTGCCCCAGGAGGCTGGCTAAGGGACGAGCACGCGGGGAGGGCTCTTGGGAACCTGGAGGTTGGGTGCTTTTTCCTCCGACAACCCCCCAAGAGGATTGCTTAGGCGAGCAGCTTGGAAGGCCACCAGGCAGCGAGCAGGGAGTTCCCCACCCTCAGCCTCGATCTCGTTCTTCTCCACCTGGGATGCACTTCCTCATTTCCGTGGAATGCTCCTTACCTTTCCAAGGCCACCCTTCTGAGCCACGTCAGCCCACGACTCTGAGATCCGGTTGCCGGTTAGGCTGTGTGGATTTAATCGTCCATACAGATGTAGTTTTCTCCGCTGTCCATTTTGTTTGTCAGGCTATGTCACATGCTTCCTGAGGGTGGAGACCCCACCACCGCCTTTGTGTGGAACACCAGCTGCTGCAATCTCGAGTGAGTCGTGTGCTGGGGATGCACTGTCACGGCATGTCCTCGGCAAGCCCTTGGATCTGGGCTGTGCATCCAGGGGCTTATTTGCCCGGCCGGCTGGTATGGTCGTGAGATCTGGCGAGTTTGCTGTCATTTGGTTGGATTCCTGGGAGCCGTGTCCACAGGGATTGGCTGTGGCCTGGCAGCCCGCCAGGCGGTGGTGTTCTTGGGGAGGGGAGTGGCATGGTGCCCGGCCTCCGAGGGCTCCGTGGGGATCCCGCTCGGCAGGTGCAGTGCAGGGCCTCTGCTGAGGTGGCCCACGGGAGAGAGTGGAGCCTGACTGGAGCCTGGCCTCCGCGTTCCTCACTTGCTGCTTGTGCTGAATCACGTCTGTTCCATCCGCACAGAGAAACCTGCCTTTTCAAACGCTGCTGCTCTCTGACCGGGCTGGGCATTTCCAGGGCTGCAGAAGCAGGAGGAATCCCATGCCAGGGCCTGCTCTACTGGTTTCCAAGGCCAGGACACGGCCACCTCAGTATGGCCGGGGGTGGGGGGGTGGGGGGGAGACGGCAGGGCCGGGGCTGGGCCAGCTCTCCTGGCTTCAGGTCTGGTGCGGAGGGGGCCCTCTGCTAGAGCTAATGCCCGCCCCCTCAGAGATGCCCACAAACAGCCTGGGCTCCACTGCGGACCTCCACCCCCCCGCCTTGCCTAACGCCGCCTTGGTGCATCGGTGCACCCTCCCCTTCCCCAGAGTCATTTCATTTCGAAGTGCACTTTGCTGGCAGAGGCCACAGATCGTATA